TTTCTGTTTCATAGTAGTGCCAGCGGTGTTCAATACCACCCCATGATAATTCGCTTCTGTCTATCTCTTGTGGCAAAATCACCATCTTGCTATGAAGAGCTTAGACAAAGCAATATTCTCACTCTACCAAGCCAAAGAACACTGCGAGACTATCGCAACTTCATAAGACCTACACCAGGCTTCCAAGACAAAGTAGTTGATGAATTAAAGTCTGAAACAAGCAGCTACTTTGATGTCCAGAGATATTGTGTTATTCTCCTTGATGAAATGAAGGTCTAAGCCAACCTTGTCTTTGACAAGAACACTCATGATCTCATTGGATTTGTTGATCTGGGGGACCCAGATGTAAACTTTGCCACTCTTGATAAACACGATGATGTGGCAACATATGCTTTAGTGTTTCTTGTGCGAGGAGTCTGTACAGAGCTCAAATTCAGTCTGGCGTATTTTGCCACCACAGGAGTCACATCAGTACAGATAATGCCTCTGTTCTGGGAAGCTGTATGCATTCTAGAATGTATATGCAACCTGTGGGTTATTGCCGCCACATCTGATGGAGCCTCACCCAACCGTCGTTTCTACAGGCTTCATAAGAACCTAGATGGTGGATCTGGGAAAGAAGTGTGCTACAGAACAATTAATCTGTATGCCACGTAGAGATACATCTATTTCTTCTCAGATGCCCCTCACCTCATCAAGACCACTAGAAACTGTCTTCTTCACTCTGGACATGGAAGATGTACAAGGTATGCAATTTAGTAGATAGCATTATTATTGTTGTTATTTTCCTGCACAGCCAAATTAACTCAGTTAGCTAAAAAGTTAGCTTATCTCATATGACACTCATTATAATGTTATTGTTATCATCATCTGAGTTCATTTCTTTTTTACATTGAAGGTACATGTGGAATGATGGCTTGTATGTCATTTGGCAACACATCACACAACTCTTTCATCAAGATATGGAGAATGGATTGAAGCTGTTGCCAAAGTTGACCTATAATCATATTAATATCTCCTCATACTCAGCTATGCGTGTTAGTTTTGCTGCACACGTTTTAAGTGCATCAGTATCTGCCGTCATGAGAACCTTCAGCTCTCCTGATACTGCAGCAACAGCTAAGTTATGTGAAATGGTTGACTCTTTTTTTGACTGTCTCAATGTACGCAGCACAACTGAGCATGAAACAAAGAGGAAACCATTTCTGGCACCATACATATCTGTTCAAGATGTAAGGTTTCAATGGCTGGAATCCACATTCCTCGTGTACTTGCAAGATTGGTTCCAGAGTATCAAGGACAGGCCTGGCAACTTCACAAAGACAGCTCGAAGTAAAATCTTCCTCTCATGGCAAACCTATGAGGGACTACAGATCACTTCGTACTCTATGATTGAAGCCACCAAGTAAGAGACTTTTGTATGTTTTACAAGACATGTCCTCTTCAAAAAATCTGAAAACTAACTGCTTTAGCTTTTCATTTTTAAATTGTTTGTCCTGAGAATCATGCATTTGCCAATTGAATAACAATGGAATAACATTTGCCAATGGAATAACAATTCAGTGACCATTTGTCTTGATTTTATTTCACAATTCATGTGTATGTTAGAGAAACATACTGGGATAAATAAGTCAATATAAATAATCTATATATTTTGATGACCTGTCATATGAGTACAAGATTTCATTTCACTATTAATTTAAAACAATTTTATTGTACAGGTTTCTCCTGGGAGAGGGTATGCAATATGTTCTTACAGAGAGATTTAGTAGACACGTGTTGGCCTGTTCTCGCCTCATTTCGTTTTCGGGCGAAGTCGGTGATTTTCCATAAAAGCACACCATTGTAGCTTGATAACTGTTCTTGCCTAACATAATCTTCTAGCTCAGCTATAGCAAAGTTCCTAGCACTTAAAGTATGTTCTAGATACTCGGTTCGTCGTTGAAGTTTTCTTATTTCATCATTAGCAGTTTTAAGCTGAGCCTCCAGTCTTCTTAATTCTCTATTTCTATTTTGCATTTCTGAGTTAAATTCAACCAAAAGAGCTTCATGATTGGCTGTCTTGGCATCCTGATTCCCCAACCTTTGAAGAATATTCTCAATTTCAGCCAGCGAAGAGCGATGTGCTGATGAATTTAAGGGAGCACTGTCTGTTTCCACGTCATCCATTAAATAACGCTTAATACTTTGCTCCAAATTACTTATGCGAGTGCCATGTCCTTGTACCATTGATGTTAGATCAGAATTTTCACCGATTATGGCATCTACCTTGCTCTGTAAAGTTTTAAGGATTGCATCCATCTTAGAAATGACTCCTGCGTCAACTTCGCCAAGTTTGGAATGAAACAAACTGGATAATTGGTCCACGAACAGAAAAAGGAGGTTCAAATGTTCGGTTACTTGTTTATCCTGGTGTCTTGTACGTTCTTTCCGTTTCATTGCCTAAAAATAGACACATCAACTCCCCGTTAGGTCTAGTTATAGGGTAAATAGTTTTAAAACGCCCACAGACTTTCTGACGCAAATGATTTTTGATATATTTTTTGAAAGCGGCTGATCAGCGTAACGATCGACATCCAGAACTATGATTGATTTTTTTTTAAGAACTTCGTCATTACTCTCTCTTTCCCGACCGGTTGTCAAATTAAGACGGGATTATGGTAATAATTCCCTTCATTTCTCTTTCTCTCAATACTCACCCCCTTCTGTTTGCATCCCACTTTATGATAAGGACACGGGGCTTCAATAGCTTCGCAGTCTCCATGAACAGGATCAAGGTGACTCGAAAGCTGTGGTCAGAATGGAAAAAAATTGTTTCTGGTTACCTGTAAAAGTTTTGTTCTCTTCAACTTCTTATTTATACAACTGAATATCACTGTGGATATCAAAGTTTAAAGAGCCTACTTTGTGTCTATTCAGAGACAGGGATGCGAAAATTACCGGCTCTGTAAGAAACTTGATCGGAATCTGATTGAGACGTGAAGTGACACAGATACAGTGAATGATAACAAGCTACGCCTATGCATCGTTCTCTTACGCCTTGATGCCTATTGCATAAATCTGGGAACAAAATAAAAGCGAAGGGCAACCGAAGGGAATCGCCCAAAAAATTATGTTCACTGTAAGCAAAGGATTGAGTGATGACTTTACCTGCTTTCGTGGAATGCTTTCAGTTTTACAATGCAAACAGTCAGTAGGGTATTCTTGGCACTCCTTTTCATGGTGTTCCTACAGTTAACAATTGAGAATGTAAATTTGAGTTGAAAATTGACCGCTGTAATTATGACTGCTGCTGGTATTGTGGTATCATCAGCTGGATGCTCCTGGCATCTCACCAATCGGTTTTAAATCCCCTATATGATTGCATCTCAAGTTTAGCAACTCTCGTCCAAAAACTTCAAAACTTTTCTACTAGAAATGAACCGGTTTCTGTTTTTTTTTTTGGCCATTTAATCTGCCGTGATTTGTTTGAGGTAATCATGAAACGTTGAAAGCTATATTTTATAATTTCCTACCGTTCTAACAAGAAAGTAGCAACGTATACAGAAACTGTATCAAATGATTTAAAAAAAAGACTATACCTTAAGCCTATCAGCTGTAGTCATCATATGACAATACTGACACTGCTGCTCTCTGAAGCTGCACTCCTCCTCAAGATGCCGAGATAAGTCATCTCTCCGCACGAAGGCTCCGCAACTGGGATGCACGCATTGGATTTTAACATAGGGGCACTGGGCCTCGTGATTCTGAAATGAACAGTCCTATGAGTTTCAACTTAGTGTACACCATGAGCTTCTCGACGTTTGAGCCGTGTACTAATTGACGATGCAAATCCCAACAACTCAAGAATCGTGACTTGCAGACCTTTCAAAATGCTTCGACCTCAACCCATCTTCGAATTTTATCAATAATTTTTCTCAGATAGTAATAAGTGAATAAGAATGATGTCAATTTTTTTCATCATAAAAGCTTTATAAGCTTGAAATGTATCTTTCCAGCTAGCACTGCTTTTATTCGTAGCTCACTTTCCTAGAAGCTCAATGAGATATGATTTAATTGATGCTAACATACCTCCAACTTCCCCAGTTCCCCACTCCACTCGCAGCCGTCGCAGTGGTTTGTACACTGGACTGGTAACGACAGGATTTCACGCTGCGCAAACTTGTCTTCAAATGTCTGATGGTGGGAAATAAAATTAATTATTAGATTAGTATATCTATGTAAACATCATAAATGAGATCGCTATTCTGGCCCCTCAGAAAAAAGCGCGGTTGGTTTCAAAGGGTGGGGTCGATTTGTCAGCTAGGTGGCCCAGAACCCCCGAGGTTTAACTTGGTTTCCGTAACATGAGGCGACTAGGAATATTGCTTCTCCTTCCGTCCTCCAATCCACTTCGGGAAGTTCCCCAAACCCCCTTTCTTCTTGATCAATTCGTAAAATTTACCTGGCAGGTTAACTTACTGGTACTCTTTAGTACTCGAAGGCGCAAAGAGAGCGAGGCTGTGCGAAGGTGGAATGTCTTGGCAAAGACACGACACAAAAGAATGACTCTGTCATGGTCGAAGTTCGGCGGAGCGTTCATTGTGGAGCCCGGCTAGCTAACCACTCCTGGTCACCTCTCTATCTGTAAGATAGAGACAATAAGAGTGAACCTAATTACCCCATTAGTTCAAGATCACTGCCTCCTATTAATTTAGCATTGCTAATTCTTGTTTATCAACGAAGTTCACTTCCTCACTTTCCGATGTTAAGGTAAAGAAGGAAGCCTCCCGATAATACAGTGGTACTTGATGTACCTTTTGTTAGAACTGTACAGAAGATGGATCCGGTAGAACCTACTCTGCAATGAGCAAATAACTTCGTTATTTGACAGGAATAAACTGATCGTCATACCTCTCCGATCTCTTCACTATCCACCACACATTTTGGAGAGGGTGACCTGAAGATAGAATTTGCCTGATTTAAATATCATGTTGACATAAAAACAGATTATTGGATGCTGGGCCCGTTAAATGCTGCATTTGGCCATGACAGTACTAAGGCAAATTATACTACCAGACCACCATTTCGGCTTATGGAATCCTAAATTGAGGATTTTACTAACAAGCACAATAAGGCGATATGGTCATTATAGCCTTTAGACATTCTATGGGAATCGAGGAAAAGAAACAATTTCAGCCGATCCTTTGATATATTACCTCAACAGTGGCTCCACACATGTTTTGCAGTAGCGATGACCGCAGCTCGTCTGAACTGGATCCCTTAAAACCTTCTCACATTTGGGGCAGAGGTATTTAGGATCAAAAGACTTGCCATTTTCGCAAATAGACAATTTTGAGTAACCAGGCATGATCGATGGATATCTAGGGAATGAATTCCAAAGTTAACCTCAGTCCTCATATCAATTTACTTGAAAAAATGAAAACAGTCTTTTCTGTAATGATTTTCCACAGACGTAATACTCAGATTACCGGTGGGGTTTTGCGGAACATGAGCAGTGCCTAAACTTCTACTCACAATTTGAGTTCAAGAGAGGATACAAGTAATAAAAATCAATAAAGGCTGATAGTTTCGAAAGAAACTGTTTGGGGCTGCGTCGGTGGGAGTAACGAAATAATTTGGATATATCAACAAAGTTGAAATGGTAAATTGGCCACCGCAACGATTACAAAAGCTGACGTTTCGAGCGTTAGCCCTTCGTCGGAGCGAATAGAGGAATTGTGGGTTGTGTGTGCTTTTAAAGGCAGAAAATGGAGCTACGTTATTGGTGGGAACATGGCAACGAGAAAAACANTATGGCCACTCATGACTCTTCAACTCTTTCTCTATTATTTATATCATTTTGAAACTATTTTTTTCTAAAAATTGGGTATATCTTGGAGACAAAGTTTGAAATTTTACCGTCGCCTAAAAGGGGAACCCCCTTTTCATAACCTATTTATAATCTATAATTAATCAAAGGACTTTGTAATTTAGACGAAACCGCTGGGGAACGTGATAGAAATGTGATTATATCACTGAGCCCAGAAAAGATTGAACTGCTGGGCAATTTTCAATTTCTTTATCCTATAGAGTTCTAAAGTCGTTACGTCATGTTTCCAAGCAACCAAATAACTTGGGTCTAAACAAAACGACTAGCACCCAAAATGGCGGCGCTCTCGATATCATCGTTGGCTTCTTTTTTCGTGGATGAGCAAAAATCTTTAACCAGAGGTGAAAATCACTATCAATCAAACCATATTGAAAGCTTTTTCTATAACGATAGCGTGATTCGTGGAGAGGTTCATGCCAGCATGAAGAAAAAGATCTACAAAGTGACGGTGAGTAATCAATACGTTCTCCTAGATGTTGTGGTACGTTTGATTCATTCTTCTTAAACGTATTCTTGTGCACGATTCATACGTCCATTATTGACCTTCCGTGTAAACGTTTTCAGTGGACAATTATTTCATAGAAAGCCGTAATCGTGATATTTAAGTCTAAATACAACCGATGTTTGGAACGTCACTCTTACTTAATCAACTCGCAGATGCCCTAAAGTTCGTAAAATAAGATCTGTTTTTTTCCACTTCTTAAGATTTATTTAGATGAGGAAAAAGCTATCAAGTCAACGGACTGTGAGTGCCCTCTGTTTATTCATGGCATTTATAAGCTTAGTCGAACTGATATTGAATGCCAGTGGAGAAAGCGTAAAGCCACAAACGTGCCGCTGCCATCGGTGCAAGAAATGTTCCCGCCAGCAAAACCCGGATATAGGGCTCTTTCGAGAGACCCGAGTTGCGAAGAACGCAGCGACTTTTTTCATAAATTGAAAAATTATGGCAAATTTACTGGGTTATACTGGCTCATGAGCCCTGAACCTGAAACCCAGTCTGGTTCATTGCCAGTTGCCACTGTGGATGAAGTGATCTTCCAAGAGGAATTTTTGCAACTGCAAGGAGCTGGAGTACAACGGCAGTATTTCCTGGAGAGGGTCAAAGTCGACTGGAGGACAATTGAAGATGTAAGTCGCCTCACTTCTGGACAAAGGGACAATCCCTCTTGGCAAATGATCAGGAAGGGTCGACTGACAGCAAGCAATTTTGGGTCAGTTCTAAATGTTAAGCGTGTTACCCCTTCCTTGATTAAACGTCTTCTTGGCGAATACGACCTTTCAAGAGTGAAAGCTGTCCAGTGGGGGGTCACTAATGAGTCTGAAGCCCTTAAGGCATTCACAATGAAGACTGGCTTAGCAGTAGTGGAAACAGGGGTGTGGCTGCACGAGTCAGGTGTCCTAGGTGCATCCCCAGATGGATTAGTTGGTGATGAAAGTGTACTTGAAGCCAAGTGTCCTTATACACAGCGAGACATGACTATTGAAGAAGCTTTCGAGTCAAATAACTTTTGCTTAGAAAAGAAGGATGGGAAAACTGTTTTGAAACGTGACCACGTCTACTGGCACCAAGTCCAAGGGCACATGTATTTTACAAAGAGAAAGAAATGCTTCTTTGTTGTTTGGACCTTGAAAGACTTTATTGTTCTTGAAATCCAGCGTGATGATGGTTGGGAGGTTAGGATCCAAGAACTAAAGGATTTCTATTTAAAACACCTTTTCCCCAAAATTATCGAAGGAGAACTTTAAATGGTAGAATATGTTAAAATGATTTATTGCACTTTATAATAATCAATTGCACTTTAGTTCACAAGCCTATGAATAAACCTCACCATTTTGGGGCACATTTGGCAAAATTATCACACATGTTACCAAGAGCTCTGCATGAAAAATTACAAAACATATTTTGGTATGTAGAGTCTTATATGTGAGACTTTGACAAATATATGCATGTACTTGCTCTAGAGTGGGGATGTGATCTGAGTACCAGGAAAAAAAATCCTTTGCCCTTAAAGTTTAATTAAGATATAACTATTGCACCAGAAAGACTGTGTAATGTAACACTTAATCGCTTACTTTTTGTAAAATCTGTCAACGAAACATTTTTTTAATCAAATAGCTGGGGGTAATCAATGGACTTCAAAGCTAAACCCTTTCACTCCCAAGCTCCAAGTAGTAATTCTCCCCAGTAATTTTCATGTATTTCCTTACATGTTACTTTTCAGAGAATTTGATGGTTGAGATCAATTGAATATCTTTAAGCTGATACTTATCACAATTCCCATTACTAGTTTGCTTAGCAATGTAATGATATTGTGTGGAGAAATTGCATACTGATTACTGATTGAAAGGCTTGAAGCAGAAATTCTCCTGATCATGTCTAGAGAATGGTGGGCAGATTAGGGTTTTAAGGGTTGTCATAAAATTAAACAAATGTTGTAACATTTCTTTGGCACCATTACAGTGTTAACTTGAACAAGATAATGTCACTTTCTCTAATTTCTTAAATGCTAGAATATACCATGGAGGCCTAGTGAGAGGGTCTGTCCCTTAATGTACTTTTCCAAGTACATAAAGTTTAACCTCCTTACTACATATTTATGGCAATAGAAGAAAAACAAGTTATAATACAAACTGCTAAATGTTACTTGGACAGACAATTTGTCAAAGTACTAAAAGGAGCATTTCCCTTGTTTATACTCAGTCATAGTCTGTTCCTGCACACCCCTCTTTAATCAAAGGGAATTGCAAGTTAACGATAGTTCCACACAACTGAAACACTTTGTCAATGTGAGACCTTAAGTATGGAGGGACAAAACTGAGAATTTTAAAATCTTTAAGCCTTGCATTTGCCCTTTCAACGTGTATGCGACATCTAGCAATTGACTGGGTTAACTTGGCCTCACTTTCAGTGAATTTCTCATGTTCAAGAAATGGTGGAATGTTCACAGACACACCCCTAGGAACAATGTCTTGAATGAGAAATCCTTTGTCTGCTAAAATCAGATCACCAGCAACAAAATGTTTTAACAGACCCGACTGTTGAACAATCTCTTTGTCAGAGATAGATCCAGGGTAGAGGTCACTGATGTAGGTCAACACCCCATTTGGTGCTACCCCAGTCAATACTTTGAATGAATTCATTCCACGATAACTCGAGTATGTGACATTTTGCTGACTCATAAGGCTTGGTGTAGCAACTTCAATGTCTGTGCAATCAATAATTATTCTGCAGCTTGAGAACTCTGAAAATGATGAGGGTGAACAGAGCTTGTTCTTGTTCCTGGAAGGAATCACTCTCATGAGGTCATCAAACAACAATCTATGCAAGACATGCACAAAGGTTATAACAATGTTAGAAATTGTTCCAACACTGCATGAGAACAGCTGTGCCAGGTGCATGTTGGTATAGTTTTGCGGCAACTTCATAAGTGTTATGAAGATTTGATCCTCAAAGGTGATTGCTTCAACTTTCCAACCACAATAATAAGAAATGGAATTCTTGAATTTAGAAGCATAATTCACTACAATATTGAAGATCTCCTTTGTTGGTAGGCCAGTTTCCATTCTCAATACTTCAGATGTCATCATCGAGACAGAGTAGTGTGTCTTTTGATACTCTATGGTGTCCTGTTGACTGCTCAGCTCTTGCTTTGCTAAGTGCAATTCTGCCTCTAAAATTATTTGCTCAGTTGGAGGATTGTTACTATCATCCTGGGCTTCTGAAGATTCTGCTGATGTAGTTGCACTAATACTGGCTAAGATATCTTTAACTGTAGGTAACTTAGCCTCTGAAACAGGCTTCTTTTTCTTCTGCACTGGGGGTTCTTGTGAGGGGAATAATTTAGTGGCATTCCTTTTAAAGATAGTGGGGCCATTAGATTTCTTTCCATCTTTAAAATGGCAACTGCACACTTTCGAGTACTTGCTGGGATCTCTATCAGCTCTCCTAACAAAAGATTGTGATAATCCTTGATATGAGCATAAGACAGTCCCATTTTATCAACTCATTTGCTGTCTTTCTAACGAAAGAAATCGCTCAGCTTCAATGAACTGTTAAAATCATCTAACTAAACAACAACAGAGGTCTGTGTATAATTATTTTGAAAATCCCAGGAAATGGTTTGAGGCATATTTCGAGAGGGAAAAATTTTGGATGACAAGCTTCAAGAGCGACAAAATGCTAGCTCGTAAATGTGAGAAAGGCTCTATTTGTAAATACCATTACACTAATCTTATCGATCATAGGTGACACCAATCAGTACAATGACAGGCAGCTGTGTCCTTTTTTTTATTTTTATTCCACAGTACAAGTAACGGGAGTTTATGGAAATTTATGCCTATGGAAGTCAAGAAAAAACATCAGCCCTCAGCGACAACCGAAATATATGGAAATTTCCTCCTTTACACCCTCAAACAACGTGTGATAATTTACTGTTTAAAATTTCACTCCCATACCGGATTAAATTCAATAGAGAGAAGTATTCATACCTTAGCAAGCGAACCCAACGTCTGTATTCTTCCTTTTTCTTCTCTGCATTTGGGAAAAGGAAAAACTGACAACAATGCGATTCCGACTGGTGATTACAATCGGGAGCGAAGCACTGCATATTCAATCTTGGTGACCTATGTGGCCTTGCCCGCGGCGATCGACCTCTACGCACGCAGCGATTCCTTCCTAAAATCGGATATTGCCGAAGAAAGTTTACAGCCTGCCAAAATATGGAGTCCAGTTAAGGTTTTTTCTTTGATTCTTTGGAATATAACGCCCAAAATACTTAGAGTACTTAGTGGAAAACAATAACACCACAATCAGATATGGCGCCCGTCTTTCAATCTCCAGGTTTTGTTTAGACCCAGATTTTGGTCGTCATGACAGCGTGACGTCACACTTTAGAACTCTATTCCCCCTCTTTAATCATGCATTCGTCTGTTAAATGCTATGCGAGCGACTTCTTCGAAAGTGCTCACTCCGCTCTTTCGTTATTCCGCATAGTTGTGGCCTTCCAGTTATCCAAAATTGAAGCGTCAGTTTTAAATTCTAGATTTCCTGGACGTTGTAAATGTCGTTAGGACACCCGAGCTGAAACTGGGCGCATTTCCTTGCGACACATATTAGTTTAACTTTCGTCCTATATACGTACAATATTTTGCTCCCAAATAAAAGGGTTTAGAAATCATTTTTAACGCAGGTATTATATTTGGGAAACTGATTATCTCCTTTGCACTACGCTGGTCTAAGATGTCGAGCCTCGGGGAATTGTTTCGACAGTCAAAATGTCTGTTAAAAACGGAAAGAGCGATCTACTACTTATATTGACGTAATTTTTTTCCCATATCGTCACTCCGAAGGAGGGGTTTTCCCCAATAAGTGTATTTCTGTTTTTATTTTCGTTTCCCTTTGAGAACGTCATACTTTCGGTTGGGCGATCAGTTATTCATGGTTCATGGACAGATACTAAGAATTCACGGCACGGAGCACTTTTTATAAGCCTTTTGCTGGGAAAAATTTCTCGAATGGATCAGTTCACATATTCTTTTCAAGAACAATGGCTGAGAATCCACAAGCGCCTTACAGAAACGGCGTGAGCGTTTGTGTACTTTGTACACTTGGAAGTCGAGCCTCACACTTTTATCCCGCCACACTGATTTCGTTGAATATTCGTGCTTACCGAAAATTTCTGTAATATCGCTTTTATGGCTGAAGACGGCGAATGTTATTGATTTGAAGGGTTCGACAAGGGGCGTTCATCTCAGCGTATAGTTGTGCGACAGAGGATGATGAACGATCGATATTCACCAAAAATATTACACACCCAAAAAAATTACACAGGTTCTGAAACGACCATGAAATAACTTGAAAGCCCCAAGTTTCTTCTCGTGTCACAACGCGTCTTGATATTTTCGAGCTAGATCTCACAATTAGGAGTTATGAAATCCAGCTCTCTAACACAGCGCGATACTGTCAGTGTGACGGGTGAATTGTGACGCTGTTTAATTGCTTCTTTCTGATTTGATGATAGTCAAGATAGGAATTTTATCCTCACTTTATAATGAACCCTCCGTGGTAAATTCTCTTGGCATCAGTGTCTCAGTACATTGGGCTATTTAGTGTACTGTTGTTTAAAAGGAAAAATATTCATACCTTTCGAGCAGAAAATTAGGACCTTATTAGGGAAAAAAACGCTGCCAGAACAATACTTACGAAAGAAGTGATAAGTGATGTTAAACACTGTATGTAGATTGGACAAATTATAGAAATTACCATAAAAGACAAACCCAGAGAAATCTATCGTTACTTGTCAAAAGCCTAATCTTGGACCTTAAGTTGCCTTTAGTCGCCTTAAGTCTCCTAAAATTGCCTTAAGTCGCCATTGGTTACGTAAAGTTATAAGGGTTACCCCCTTCCCAATTGACCCCATTCACCCCACTCTAATCATATTGTGTTTATTGCACGGGATCGGTAAATATTTTTAAAGTTTATGGAGAGATTGATGCTAACTTTGATTTATCACTTCAGTCAAATAAAATCGCTTTAAGTCGCTTTAAGTCGCTTTAAGTCGCCTGAAGTCACCTTAAGTCGCCTCAAGTCCCTTAAATTGCCCAAAGTCGCCCAAAGTTACGGCGACTTAAGGCCCCAGAGTAGGCCTTGTCATACAATTCCATTTTGCATTTCATTTTCGCTTTCATTTTCTAAAGGTATTTTTGGTTTATCTTTGTAACCACTTAGAAGGAAGGTCATTAACCAATTTTGGAGGACGATTTGGGGTCAGGAGAAGAATTAATTAACAAAATGATCAGAAACTTTCATAAAATTAATATTATATAATTACGATAATTATAAAACGTGGCTGACCTGGTGAATATCGGATGTCTTAACTATGTTACCAAGAGACGAAATCAGAGACTTTTGTCGAAGCAGGCAAGATAACCCCATCTAACAGCAGCCAATCATAACAAGACATTTGTTCCATCCTACACAAACCATCAAAATAAGAAATGAACCTTGAACCAGTGATGCGGAAATGGTTTTAGAAATGATGAACACATGTTCAGCTCAGTAATTTGGGGCTAGGCATTTATCATATCTTGGATTGTTTATTTAGTATCAAAATTTCCGTACTCTGTGCATTATCAGTTAACAGAATCATTGCTAACCGAGGAAATACGTATCGCGTGATCTGTCTAGTGGTAGTTCCATATTAAATGCTTAGCAGTTTACATCGCTTGCTTTAAGGAAATGAGTTTCAGTTACCAACTCCAGTGACGTTCAGCAAATGCTCGGACCTGAACACGTTTCAGCAAATCATCCATTCTTACCATTATGCTACTAATATTTACCCTCTGCTTTTTCCTTAAGAAATTCGACCTATCGGTCAAACACTCAAGCAAGTTCGCTCTCTTTGACGTCAATGTGATATTTGTTCCTATAGTGGTTCAAGCTATGTGATATGACATAATGGTTCTTGCTTAAAAAAACAAAGCATAATAAAGAAAACTTGGGTTCGACCCATCAGTAGATAAATACGTGAATTACCGACTGACCAATGATGTATCGACTCAACTACTCAAGCTACCTAGCAATAACAAGATCGACCAGACATCGACACTATCGGACAACAGACATACAGCTTCCGGTACTTAACTTAGTCTGTCCGACAGAATTTGTAGAAACAAGGACAGGATTTTTAACTTAAATCTAACCATAGTTAATAGAGGGGACAGAGCAGCTCGATGGAGTTCATCAGAGTAAACATCCTACAGGTTATCGTTCCGTTATTGTTAACAGTGGTCGTTATCTTGCTGATTGCGATTCTTCGCAATTTTCGTGGAGCAACGAGGACTGTCACACAGATGCAGCAGAAAGAAAAAGAACCAGAAGAAAACGATGAGCGGTTTGTAACAGGTCAGAGCTCTTTATTTGTAGTGAGTTAGAAGTAGCATGTTTCTTCAGGAGGCTTTGGCGGTAAACAAAACGAAAGTTTAATATCATCTGTATCTTACCGATCTTTGTTACCTCCATCTCGTTGAGCATTATTTAAACTTTGCTGCAGGCAAGTCATCGCCTTTAGCATCAAGTGCAAATTTGACAATGGACGAGTGATTGCATGAACTTGACATGATAAGTCAGCAAAAGATTTGTTGAAGTAGTCCGTGAGTCACTATGAGGAGTCTTCATATAGAGACAGAGAATACCGAACATCCGAAGAGAAAGATATTAGTGGAATGATATTTATCACTCTTTAAAGTTTTTAATCATACCGAAGATATTGGTTGAAATACATCCATGTTTCTTAAAATTTGTCACACAATTTATCATCAGGGCTCTTTCTCGCAACGCGATACATTCACTTTACATAATTAACGGTTTTAACACAATACCTCACATAAATCTCACGCTCTTTTATTTGCTGCAAATAACTGACGAATGAGATTAATGAAAACAGGAGATCACAGGAGCCTTTTTTTTTAATGTTCGTGTTAAATCTGAAGTACCTCGTTCTACGTCGAGGAACACCTAGTGACCTCTTGAAAACCTTTTAAGAGTCGCTTTTGCGTCAAGTTCTTTTGCGATGACGTGTTTATCGACGGCTCACTGTTTTAATAATATGTTGATACTTTTGAGAAAAAAATCACAGTGAGTTTGTTACAAGATGGGAGATAACAAATTTACGTAGAAATCCTAAGTTAGTAGACATCCATAGTAAACGAGCTAAATAGAAAGTGAGCCACTCTTTCGTGACAGTTTACCTAAGTAAGGCTGCAGATATAATTATCATTGATAGCAATTCAAAATCACGCTTCACATACTTTGAAGTGGCAAGACAATTATTTTGTAATTATATTTGCTTTTGAATTGGTTTATTGATTGTTTCAACATCTCTTTCTCAACTAGATAGTTAATGAACAAACCACATGTTTACTTACAAGTTAGAGGGGGAGCATCGAACATAATTCAACTAAAACAACACTACCGACTACTCTTCATTTTTGGGCTGTTAGTCGGCCATTTCTGGGTGAAATAAAGCTGATTTCCGATTTTCTGCTCTGCGATTTGCGGTTTTCTTACCTAATCTGATGTTGTTGTTAAAATGTGTCTTTATGAAGAGAATAACCCACATTTGAGTTCATAGGTTTTTCAATCCCAGAGGCATGCAAGCTAAAAAGTCACGCTATAAGAAGCCACAGAACCCGTGGTTAATGACATTAGACTAATCTTAAGTCTGTGCTGTATTACATCAAAATGAATTGTCGCCGCATTGACGTTATTGTCGAGACATGACTTAAAGAGCGTACAGCAGGAGTTGTGAACTTGCTACTGAATTCTCACATGGTGTTCCAGTAAAAATAAAGGTCTTCCCTCTCCTTCTTTTCCTTTTTTTTTTGGGATGTACTCATTAGATAAGCTACATATGACAATGCATACATTTCCTAGTAGTATTGAGCTACACTTACCATGTCTCTTTTCCCCGAAATGGCGTCGGGTCATTTTTCGAAATCTCCTTGAAATGCTTGTCCAAAAGGTCCCGAGGGTCTCTTGGAAAGAGAGATAAACAATGGGAACAAAGTTGACAAATAACTAGCAAAACTACGCAATTTGAACTGAAAACTACCTCCTACTGCTGATTTTATAATTTACATGTATCAGCCGTACAATTAAACTTTTATCTTTTGATTACATTTAGCTGTGCGGAGACGGAGAGGAAGTAGACTTAGTCTTCCCTGCATTTTGACGACTGGCTGAATCAACACCTTGAAACAAAATCAGGAAAAGATCCTTTTTGAGATCACACCGGACTTTGTTCGGCTTCTCACACAAACATGACGAAGAGTTGTTACACGGAGAAATAACGTTACTTACAATTTGGTTGCAATTGGACAGAGATTCGAACCAGTGAGATTGAAATGATTACTTCTAAAAAACTTGTTGCAAGGACTTGAAATAATTACTCTGATCGTGAAAGTTAACGATGGTCATTACTTATACGATATTGCGTTATTATTTTTCAAAAGGTAGCAAAAACTTGTAGAAGAAAAACTCGATTTCTGCTTTTCATCTTTATTGGCTGTGGTAGTTTTATTTTCTCGAGGTACTTACCATGTAAGTGAAGAAAAAACTATTGATAAGAGTTATGAAATAACATCAGCATACTTCATTTGTTAACTATTTTAAACAAAATAAAATTTTCTCTGTGTCTAAATAAAATTAATAAAAGTGTAATCATTATGAAAAACAATTACAGTAGTAAAACAAGAAGAAGCATCATTTTGTTCTTACCTTCAAGGAGCATGCTATCGAACAGAAAAGCTGCAAGGTAGAAATATTAATTAACAAGTCTTACAGACTCAGTTTTTCCATCAAATGACAATACTATATCAAAAATGTCCAGACAAGGGTAACTAGTTTTATTGAGTTTTTGGACAGATTTCTTATAAAGTTTCCTGTTACATTTACAATATATCCAATATGGGCTTTCCTTTATTTTTGTTAAAATCTTCATTACATGAATCTAAAGTTTCAAACTTATGGATACAATACTTTTGTAGTTCTTGTTTTGTAGCAGTGTCCATTGTTTTGTATTCTTATGCTTTTCTGGTTTTTATTTCTTATAGAATCCATAGTTTTGCATTCTTGTGCCCTTTTTGATTAACAAGTTTAATTTCTTACCAGAATGCATAGTTTTGTATTCTTGTGCCATTTTCTTTAGTATGCTTTGTTTCTTAACAGTATCCATTGTTTTGTATTTTTGGGACAGTTTTTCTGTATTTCTTCTTTATTTTTCAGATCACTGACTTGTTTTTTCTCCAAAAATATTTTTTTTCTTCGGTGGCTCCATTGTTTTATAGTCTTGTTTCTGTCTACAATTAATCAACAATTTCTTTCTTTCCTTTCTGTCAACTACTTTACATGAACATGTAGTTGAAACTGTATTGTGTAATGCCCTGGAGTGTTACATTTCTCTTGTACTTTTCTAATGGCATCAGCATGTGAGGCCGTTCCACTTATGTCTTAGCGTATTGAATAGACGCGTCTCTTTCATTATGAAGCAGGAGAGAATACATATATTTTGAACTTTTTGTGGTTTTCAAGTTACAACTGATGCAATACGAGGAAAACAATATCAAAAACCCTGTGCATTCACTATTATTTATTGTATTGTTCTCAAGAATCATTGACTTGCACTGATTCGAATCAGTTAATAGTCCTTCACTCTCAAACAAATTATCTAAATTTACTTCAGTTCCACAAATACCTACAGTTCTTGGACTAAGATTAGCTGGTGATAACTGACTGTCTTCTAAATGTGAATTACACCACAATTTATTGCCATTGTCAACAATGGTAAGAAAGGATGAGTTGTAATTCCAGTAGTTACATTGTTTCATTATAGAGTAGCTAGTTGCAGAGAGATTATAGAGCTACAGCTAGCATACCTTAGAAAGAGGTTTGTGGTTTCATTCACTGTTTTGAGAAACCATCCTATTTTAAATATTCTCAATTTGTACTCCTCTCACTTCAAATATATAATTTTTAATGTATACTCTGAAAATAATGTACCAAACTGTTGAGGGACAGTACTCCAAGAACATATGTACCTTGAGGCTGCCCTCTACCATACAAATCTCTAGCATGAGAATCAAATATTTTAAAACCCATATTGTTATTACAATAGATTGCAACAGTAATACACCTTACTGTTAACATGAAATTGGTGTAGTTTTCAGATATGAGCGACTCAAAGACTCTTTGCAAAGAGGTGCCGTACTGATATCTCTCTATAAGAGTAGTTTCATGGCGAATGGTATCAGAGTACCTTTCACTATATTCCAGTTGATAATAAGTATCAAACACATTTAATGCTGGCTATTGGTAATTCTGACTGCTATAAAAATGCCTGTCTAGCTAACCAAGACAAACTTGAATACAACTGATTTCGAATATTCATTATTTGTGTCAGATCATTTGCAGAGCTGATCTCCTGTGTGTTATAAATCAAACAAAGAGCACAAACTCATGGCAACACACTGTTGTCCAGCGTTCTGTCCAAAAACAAACTCGCTACCTTTACTATAAGGAGCTGCTATGGTTTTGTTAGGGTCAACATATAGTGGAGGACCAGGATTTTTTCTATGTCTCTACTTAGTTTATAGTTGCAATAATTTGCTACATGACTGAGCCTCACTCTTGCAAGATCACACAAGTTCGTTACAAGAAAACAATATTAAATATCGACTAGCACGATGTTTTATCTTTCTCAAACTCTGACAAATTCTTTCACGACAGTTAAACTTGAACGTGGTTTTTTTAAATACTTTTCTAGCATTTACATAACAGTACAATGTAGGTATGATGCACGATCCTTCGCAGTAGATAGCGCTATTTATGCAATAGCGAAAATCTAACCTGAAAAAACTCAGGCCTGTACGGGATTCGAACCACTGACCTCTGCGATACTAGTGCAGCGCTCTACCAATTGAGCTAACAAGCCATCTGGGAGCAGGCCGTTAAGTTGATTCGTAATAAACCCGTGATGATAAATCAGATACAATGAATATATGAAGTTCATATATTTTKAACTGCGGTATTAAATACGTATGATACACGATCCTTCGCAGTAGTACAATGTAGATGACATGGGTATACACGAAATAATACGTGCATAGATAAACTCTCTAACCTTTCTGCTCTTGTTCCTTAAACTTTTCAAACTTAGTATTGGTATACTGCTTGGTTCACGATCACGTATACATACACGATAAGATTTGCGTTTATGCTTCTCTCGATTAACATTACATAGCTCAGTTGATATATGGTGTTTCTCGATGAAAGGCTCACTCATACATGTTCGCTCATAGACATCGGAATTTCTCATAAGATTCGCGGACCGATCCGTTCCAAAAACGTTCGATATGCACACCGCGAACGCTGTGTGCATATCTTGTATGCGTTTTGAGCGTATTATACACAGTATCTGTGCTGATTTTGCACCGCTAAGACACTTCTACATCCGCCACTACACCATGCCGACGGAGCTGAATAACGTAACTATGCGCAAGCCCTAGCCGGTTTTGGCGCGGAAACACGCATTTCGATTCGTTCGGATGGTTGATTTTCTTTTCTGTTGCTTCGAGGAGTTGTTTTCTTTGCCGCTCAGATCAAAGTGTGTGTATTCATGCAGCGAACAAACTGCCTCAGAGCTGGCAGGGCATTTTAAAAGTGCAATTCTTAAATAATAACCCATGGATTCTCGACGGAAAAAATTGCAGGTTTTTCCTGCTAACGGTAAAATGGGAATAGTTAGCTATAGTATCTTAATTTTCTCCGGAACCTTTTGATGTTCAGGATTCACAGATCATTGCACGGCTTGCAAAACAGGAAGACCCAGGATTCTTTTAATTCCGCTCCTAGCAAGATGAGTAATGTATTCCTCAAGCACCTGAGGTCTTGCTCCTTGTAATCTGATTTAATATAATGAGAAAAGTTATCAGGACTTACTTTAACTGATTTTTTCACCTTCTTTCAAGGGTGTTCCCTTATCTGTTTGTTCAGCTCAAACATCAACTTGAAAGTTTTTTATTTTATTTTTACTTTCACTCGATTTGCTATGGTTTAAACCTCTGTCTACCTTCCCTTAGACCATAAGAGCAGATCACGAATTAAATTCTGTTCTAAGGCAGTGCATGGATCTTATATTAGTTTTCCCTCATCTCTGTCTCCGATCTTAATCTTTAGTCTCTCTCTAAACTGATATTAACGGTCTCTCAGATGGGCACAAAACATAATTATGCAGATATTTTCAGTTCTTAAGTGACAAATGGCTAACTAAAGCTTTTCTATTTGAAAAAAGATCTGGTGCTTTCGCAGAATAAATCTCCAAAACTGCCGTTTTGATAACTGCGTACTAGCGAGTCGTGTTGAACATGCTTAAGTGGGCTATCCTGGGGTATCTCCGTGAGCGGAGGACATGCGACACTAAAATAAAGACAAATTAAAAATTCCGCGCAAGTAGAGGTGTAAGGGATTTACCTCCCGTTTACATAATGGCTTTAGGTTGAAGAAAGGCTGATAGTTTCGAAAGAAACTGTTTGGGGGTGCGTCGGTGGGAGTAACGAAATAATTTGGCCACCGCAACGATTACAAAAGCTGACGTTTCGAGCGTTAGCCCTTCGTCGGAGCGAATAGAGGAATTGTGGGTTGTGTGTGCTTTTAAAGGCAGAAAATGGAGCTACGTTATTGGTGGGAACATGGCAACGAGAAAAACATGAATAAATTAGTGGAATGAAAAGCGTTCATTGATCCCTGTGGGATTTAGACTGCCAACGAACGCTTTTCATTCCACTAATTTATTCTTGTTTTTCTCGTTGCCATGTTCCCACCAATAACGTAGCTCCATTTTCTGCCTTTAAAAGCACACACAACCCACAATTCCTCTATTCGCTCCGAC